AGCGGTGGCAGAGAGGGCAACGACACCACGGACTACGGTGAGCAGAGAAGAGAGAGAGAGGATGAGAGGGGAGCGGAGACTGCGTCAGGAGATCGGGGGTCAGTAGTGGGGGAAACATGTCGTTCTTTCTCTCTCCCTCTCCCGAGAGGTGGCCCGTTACTCGCGGCCCATTGAGATCTTAGCGGCCCCTCCCCTGCCCCCTCCCTCTCCTCGGCCTGGTCCAGGCCAGCTCCCAGACTCGCCCATCATACCCGCACTGCACGCAGGTTGCCCGGGTGGGGCGTGGCGAGGCGAGGATTGGGATGATTCTGGATCGGGATACCGGGGATCTTCCTTCGCCTCGGCCACGGGTTTGCAAAGGATAAAAAGAAAAGGAACAGGCTCTGCCAGGTTCAGAGATAAAGACAGACAGAGAGAAAAGTTGGGCCATTCGGAAGTAGACCAATGAATGAATCGTGAAATGGTGAATTTTGGCCAGAGGAGAAGCAGTCGAATTCGTGTTGGATTGCGTGTCACACAACAAACTACACGCACACACGCACACACTCGTATTCTCGACTGACAGTGTAGTCCTGGTAGCAAGACAATCGCGGCTTAAGGGCTGACTGGCTCATCTGCGAGGGCCCAAGCGCCCACCCCGACCCGGACAGAGGATGCGGGGGCAAGCAGGCAAAGAGAGGAAAGTGGGAACAATTTGGGATCGATTTTCTCCGATGCGCTTATCGGTCGGGCCGGGGTTAGTCGCTTGCTCAGTCAGTAAGCGTGCGACTCAAAGGTGCGACTCGGACAGCGCGGGGCGGGCGCGGGCCATGCGCGAGGAAGGGTGCGAGGTGGGGGCGAGGCGGGGCGAGAGGGGGGGGGGGGCAAGGCGGGGCCTACCAGCCTGGCTTGGTCGTACACTCAATTAAAACGATTGCATCATGCATGGCGACACACGCGGTGCGGTTCGCATCTGCAGATGAGACGCGCGCCCCGCCAGCACCAGGGGAGGGGCGGGCGCGGCGGCCGAGGCGGGGTGAAGCAGGGCGGGGCGCACTACCCTGCGCACGGTGATTCACCCAGCCATGCGTTTATTGCGGCCACGAGGCCAGCGCGCGTGGCGTGGCGTGGCGGCTGGATCAAGGGACTGCCCCGCCCATGGCGCCCTAGCGCGTGTGCAGTACACGGCCCGCCGGACACGCTGATAAACTCACTGATCTCGACGAGGTCGACGTGGAGGAGCACGCGCCGGCACTGGGACGAAATGGGCAAGGGGCGACTTGGTACAGGGGCGAGCTGTCCCAGATCCGTCCGTCCGCAGCCACCCCACGTAGCAGGGGGCTGCGCGGGACACCCGCGGGTAGCCGGCGCCGGGCGCGGCGAGTTAACGCGACGTGGAGGTGCACTCTCGGCCACCCCGCACCCCGCGCAGCAGCAGGAGGCTGCGGGCGCGCGCGCCCATCAGACCAGCGCGCGACACAGTGCACACACACCGCGGCGGAACCGACTCTGTTACGGTAGTTTCGTACGGGCGTGGCTAGAGAGGCGGGGCGGGGCGGGGCGCGTCGAACATACCAGCGCATCGCGAGGAATCGGAATGCCACGCTCCGCTGCAATACAAATACCATCTCCCCCCCCCCCTCCCCCAGCCCAGACCGGCCGGTAGCAAGAATTAGAGCGTAATTAGAGCTGCAGAGCGGCGATTAATTAGCGGAATCGGCAGAGCGATCTGCACGAGGCTCACCCACGTGACCCAGCCGAACAGCCGAACAGCGGCGCCTCGGAGCGAGGCTACTGCCCGCGGAGCCCGTGCCATAAAAATGTGCCATTTTTATGGGAAGGTAACGAGCGCGGCAGCCCAAAGTACGATTGGGGGTAGCGATGCATTTGGGTCTGATACGGCTAACCTCTTTCTTCGAATTTTCCCTGAGGGGCATTGAGTTTGATTGGTCTGATGTCAAAAATTCGAACTCGTATGATTTTACAATACGAAATATTTTTCCGTTCCCATCTAGAGAGCACAGTTTCGAGGTAAAGTAAAGGTAGGCACCCAGCTAAAGGAAGCGCATAACAAAAATTGTTGCTCTACTGTTAAACCAGTGAAACTTTAGTTAGTTGTGTTGTGTACCTTGTGCCGGGTTGGGCCGGGCAGGATGGCCATTTGGAGTGAGGGCCGACGGTAGTTAGACCCCGCGGTCCCGAGCAGAGTAAGGAGAAAAACCACTCTCTTCTGGGGGAATGGAAACAAAGCTGGGCGCGACACAAGAAGAAAGAAATAAACAACGGGCGGCGACGGTGAAAACTAAAAAAGGAGGCAGCAGCATCTTGTCAGCGAAAACAAAACTGAAATAGCGTCTCTTGAGCTACCTCACTGGGAGGCGGGGCCGGTCGTCATATGGAGATTGTGACGGGCTCCGCTCCCCGGCGGGCGGCGGGCCCGCGACAAACGACGCCAATAACAATATGTCACCCGCCCGGCCCCCGTGCCCCGCGAACCGATGCTCGCCGATATTTTACCCGGGTAAATTGGCGTAAGCGGCGCGTAGCTCGCCGTCGCGGACCGAAGTGAGCGTACCCCGCCTCGCGAACCGCCCTGCCCGGCTGACGCAACGGCTTCGTTCTTACAATTACTGCCCTGATTCCTTTACCGCGCAGTTCTTTAGGGATGAGACGTACGCTGCGGAGTGGTTTAGCTAATAAACTCGGCACACTCCACCTGGCTCGCCGAGTCACGCGGAGCCACACGGAGCACAAGGAGACACCCCGAGCCAGGCGGAGCCACCCCGATAGCCACGCTATAGGCGGATGTACCAGGTGGCTGATTCACGCCGCTCACTATGCAACCTGCCCGCACGGCTCCTTCCGGGACTGCATACCCACCAGGCGCAGTGGACAGGCTCCTGCGGGCGGGTTGCATAGAGCGCGGCGTGAATCAGCCACCTGGTAAACTAATTAGAGACCTAGGAAAGAAGTTTTCCCCCAACCTCTTAACTTTACTGATTGGTAACGACGTTGGCCGTGGCCAGTGGCCACAACTTGCCACATCAAAACTCCAAATGAATGGCCGAATGACTGAGAGTGGTGGAGCGAGGATCGGCCGACGCCGCCGCCCCCGCCGCCCTGCAGCCCCGCGAGGACTCGTTCGACCGCCTCGGGCCTGAAGCGTCCCACATCTCTCCAAACCGCGTCCGTCAAATGCATCAAGAGGTGTGGGGTGTGGGTGCTAACCATGAACTTGCACCTTGCTCGCGAGCCGCGGCGGCGCTCGGGCGGGCGGGGCGTGGCGGGTGGGAG